TCTTCCTTTAGTTTAGCATCTCTCTTCCTCCATCTCTGCTTACATTTGATCTCTTTTATATCTCTAAATAGATTGACTCAGGATACACCTACTTCATTCATATACTAATCCTACCTCATTAACATGACAAAGACAACCCATTCCTAAATGATATTGTAACCACTAGAGGTTGCATAGTGGTTAGGAATCCTGCTATGAATCTTAAGGTCAACAGTTAGAAACTGCCAGCTGTTCCACAGGAGAAAGATGAGGTGTTCTGTTCCTGTAAAGATTTACAGCCTCAGAAAGCCTGTACAGGGTCGCTATGAGTCAGTTCCGATTCCATGGTACATAACCACCATCACCAGAGGTTAGGATTTGCAGCACATCTTTTGGGAGGCCACAATTCAGTACAAAACTTCCTTTTTGGTCCCCAAATCCATATCCTTGCCAAGTTAATACCCTCACATTATAGTAAAGTCTGAAATAAACTCCAATTCCAAAACTCCTGGTGAGACTCTAGATTTATTCCATCCTGTGGCAAAGTTCCATTTCATCTGAGAGCTTATGAAATCTGGACTACAAATTATCTGTTCCCAAAGCACAGTGAGGAGCAGGCACAAGGTACACATTTTCATTACAAATGGAAGAAATTGGAGGGAAAGAAGACATCATGGGCATCAAACAAGTTCAAAACCCAGCAGATCACTTTGCATTAGTTCTTAAAATTGGAAAATAATTAGCTTTTCCTTCATATCATCTAGATAATGGTCTTGCTCTCTAGACTTTGGTTGTTGGTCATGCTTTCTAGATTCTGGGTAGAGGCCACTTGGTCCTGGGCTTCAGCTTTGCCTTCCAGGCCCACTGGGACAGAAACTCTGCCCCTTCAGTTTTGGATTGCCCCATTCTGCTAGTCTGTCTGAGTGAACACCCCATACCCTTTGCCTTGACAGACCCTTCTTTTGCTCCTTTGTCATGGTAACCAAGCCCCCTCAACTTTAGGCAGCAGCCCAAACCCCTGGGTAGTCCACACCTTAATGGCAATGCCATAATACAGGAATGAGTTGGTGAAAATTCTATTGTTTGAAACCTAGAAAGCTATGTGTACCTATCCTTTGAGATTTAGGAGACCATGGCCCTATTCTTTGAACCTTTGAAGGTTTTGTTTCCTGTGATCTTTCCAGCAATTGTTCTGATCTAAAAGCTGCTCCACAGGTTGTTGTTGTTGTTAAGTGTCATCCATTCCGACCCATAGCGACACTGTGTAGGATTTCCAAGGAGCAGCTGATGAGCTTGAACCACTGATCTTGCAATTCAAATGACTTTGCAGTCTGGTGCATTAGCCTACAACGCCACACCAGGACTCCACAGGTAGCCCTTTCTTTTTCTGAAGGACAAAAATGTAGCTCCTTTTGTCTGTTTCCTGTGTGTTTCCTTGCAAAAAGTAGACACATCTTTCCTTTTGTTCTTTCTTTCTTTCTCTCCTTCAGACTTAGCTGGTGGTGAGTTTTCTGCTATGGTTGTTAGCTAGATCCAGCTGTCACTGGCTTAATCTCTTTATCGAAAGGTTGGGTAACCACATTCTTTGTAAATATTCCAGGACATATGTTCTTAGTTTGTAAATAGAATTTTCCAGATCTTTATGTTCTGTTTTCGTTTTGCACAATTCATTTTTAAGTCCGTCTTTTTCCTGTCACATTTTACTATAAGTGACAAAGAGAAACTACACATTCTCTTTAAAATCCTTTTCAGAAATCTCCTCAGCCAGATATCCAAATTCATCATTTACAAATTCTAGCTTACAATAAACATTTTGAACATAATCCAGACAAGTTTTTTACCACTTCATAAAAAGTATTACCCACCCTTCTTCTATTATTCAATTATATATTAGTCATATTCTTTGAAAGCTTAGTGTTGTTGTTATGTGCTTTGAGTCAATTCAGACTCGTAGTGACCTTGTATAGGGTTTCTGAGGAGCAGCTGATGACC